CGCCGGCACGAGCAGGTCGTCCAGCTGTCGAAAGGGAACATGGAGGGCAAGCCATTGGCCGAAGAACTTATCGTTCATCATGGAGACCATTTCGGCTGCCACGACCTTCTCGCCGAAAGTCTCATAGCGAAGAGCATACTGCTCCAGCGTGATCTCTGCGCCAGTCGAAGCATGCGACTTTCGGATATGCTCCAAAATGGCCCCCTTTGCGTTGACTTTGCGCAGAAACTCGAGCAACGTCATTTCCCCGCGCCAGGTTGCGACCTCGTACTGGCGCACGTACTCGGGCTTGACGGGCATGCCCGGATGCGGTGCAATGATGGGCCGCATGGTGCCTCCCAAGAAAAACATGGGGAAGGTCTGGCTGGCTAGCAGCAGCCACATCTCGGGCTCACCGGGGTGGAACGTAAACAGGACGCGCTTGGCAGCGGCGTACGCGCTGCTGCTGTCGTCCATCAGCTCTTTCCCGGGCCCATCGCTAAACTTTGGGAGGTAGGTCGCGGCGTACTTGAGCATGAGGCCGGTTCCTCGCTGCACCTGCACGTCCTGGTGGCACTTGAGGACGTCTAGGACCTCGGGGATGTAACCTCGGATGCCCAGCTTCTTGTCCTGCTGACGATGCTGCAAGTGGACGGCGTCATTCTCGGGGTCGTAATAGCTGGAAGCTTCCTGCAGCGGCACCCCGCTGCCTGTGCGGCCGGCTTGCCCATCCAGGACGTAGCCCCGCAGCGGGTCGCCCTCTGCCGGCACGATGGCGCAGATCTTGGTGTGCAGCTGCGCGGGCCCTACCTCCTCGGCGAAGACCAAGCCATGCAGATGAACCGCCGCGCGCCCATGGTAGTCCTGCGTGACTTCTCGGCGTTTGCCATCCTGGAATTCAAGTCGGCCCACGAAGTTGATGCGAACCTTACTGCCGTCGCCCCGACGGGCCCCGAAGAAGGACGTGTTCCAGTTGGAGGAGGCGTCGCCAAACTTCCGACCTCCTCCACAGACCCATTCGCGGAAGAGCTCGGTAAGAAGATGGGCCAAGTGGAGGGCCTCAGGCCCCGCCAGACCAAGACGCTGGCGGCCGAGCTGCTCCATCTGGCGCAGGATCCACTGGTGGTAGGGCGCAGACCACTCGAAGGGAGCCCAGGTGAAAAAAGCCACAGGAAAGCCGCAATGCGCCTGCATATCTAAGGCCGCAGCATGTCGAACCTTCCAGAATTGAGGCGTCCAGGCCGCTCCCTTCATTGCCTGCCACATCGGGGTCCCGTGCAGGGCGCCCTTCTTGCCTCCCACATCCGACCACATGAAGAGATCGAACACGAACTGGACCAGCTCATGATCACCCGCATAGTCCGCAATGGGACCGAGGGCCTTGGCCAGGAAAGATCGCCGGAGACTCTGCCGCGTGGCGTCCTCGAGGTCGTCATCATGCGGCTCGAGGTCATCGTCCGCATCAGGACCAGCTCCATGCCTGGCCGCCTGTGCGCGAGCCTGACGGCGCACGTCCGAGAGCCGAACGCTCGTCTCACAAAGGCTGCGGTGCCAATAAAGGTGAGGCCACAGAGAGCATTCCACGGCAGCTTCCTCAATGAACCGCAAAGGCCGCTTGCGTCGATCCAGGTCAGCGTGGGGGTGATCGGCGAGGAACCGGCGATGGCGCTGAATGAAGGATGCATAGCTGGAGTCCGTGCTCGCCATGAGAAAGTCGAAGGCCTGCGACAGAAGGTAATCGGGAAGCAGGGGCAAACAAGCACACACGCAAGAGGCGTCTATGTCATGCACAGCGGGGCGGCGCGCCTTCTTAGCTCGCTTGCGGCTGCGTCCTTCCAGATGCTCGATCTTGTCCACGACGTCCGACGCGGACCAGGAGAGACGAATCATGGTGCTGTGGAAATAATATCCGTAATCGGCTTTCCACTCCGGTCCACAGTCGATATCCAAAGGGCGAAGAGACAGCAGCTCTTCCCGAGACAGACCCCGCAGGAGGGGCGGCACCTCGTCCGGACATGGCACCCAGACGCGCGTCGCCTCAGGCTTCTGGCAGTTCTTGCATTTGGGCAGCGCAGTCGGCGGGGGTCTCTGACGCAGGTCCGCCTCTTTAGGATGCTGTGGCTGCGCAATGCCACAGAGTGCGCAGATCTTCCAGGAGCGTTCCTTGCACCAGACCTCAATTTGCCGGGCCGCGTCACTGACATGAGCAGCTGGGAGGCCGGTGTCGTTGAGAGCAAGGTCGTGGATCTTTGTCTGCAAATCTTCAGTCAAGGGATTGCGCCAAGAGAAGTCCGCGTGCCGAACTCTGCGACAGTGCTGCGGGAAGAACTTGCGCTGCGCGTACGTCCGGTCGCTCTGGACCAGCTCTCGGTACTCGCGCAGCTGCCCGGCGTCCGGCGCCGCGGCCACGGATTGCCTCCAGCTGAGCGCCTCATCCTGGCTCGCCTGAAGTGTGCGGCCGCGGCCTCGAGGGTTTCCTCCTGCCGGAGGCTCCGGGGCTCGCGGGTTCTCCGCCGCAGCTGCAGCATCTTCCGCAGGCTGCGTGCGCGGCTTCCGAATTGGCAACAGAGCTGAGGCCCGCAGTTGCTGTTGGACGTCGGCAGACATGGATGCCAAGCTGCTGCTGGAGAAGGCGGCCTCGAAGACGTCAGGAGCACATTGCCGCCAGCGCTTCAGAAAACAGACAATGTTGCCACGGCCACGCGGCGTGTCAAACGCCGTTGCAAGAGCTGTTGGACTACAGAAGATGCAGTGGCCATCATGCTTGCCACATGCGCGCGAACCAGATCCATCTGCCGCGTAGCGGCAGGGCATCCCCGGCAGCCCTCGACACAGAGCTTGCTCCGCCTTGCTGGACTTCCGGCGGGGCCGCTTGCGAATGGCGCCGCTGGCTGGCGCAGAGGGCGCCTGCTCAGAACTCGTGGCGTCAAGATCCACCGCCTCCACAGCAGCCTCTGCCGGTGATCCAAAAGAACGGTCCCACTCCCACATGTCACAACGCGCGCGCAGCAAAGGTAGAATGGTAGAACGACTATAGTAGTAACGGCTTGATCGAAAATGCTTGACAGCACGGTACGTGAGCAACACACGGACATGTTCCCAGAGCGCGTCATTATGCTTGCAAGGAAGCATGTAAGCGCAAGGCAAACGACCTTCCTTTTTTGCTACACGCGTGTCTTCGGATTGCAGTGCGTCAAAGCCCCAGCAGTGTATAAAGTTGGATAATTCTTACTGAGGCGTTGCTCGGTGGTCCAGGCAGGAGGCTTACACAACACAGCTGTGTGTGACTATATAGAGTCGGTACTCACTTACTACTCATCAATGCGCCTCATGCCGTTGAACGCAAGAAAGAACCGAAGAGCTACCACGGACAGCTCGAGAGTGTCCCAAGCCTCATCAAGCAGCCCGTCACTCTCCAGCCGCGGGAGGCGCAGTCTTCAGAGCCTCCTCCAAGCTGTCGGCCATCTTTTTCAGAGCTTCCAAGAATGGTAGAAGATTCGCGGCTTTCGGATAGCGGGTTTTCCCGATGAACGTCTCGATTGTCGGCTGCAGACCCAAGGAGCTTGTCGCCGATGTCGGCAGAAGTTTCAAAGCGTTCTGCAGGTCGGAGATGGGAGGCCGCTCCCTGGCATCCTTGGCCCCAATGTCTGCCAGCAACGACTTCAGTTGGGTCAGGTTTTCCTGGGTGTAGCCCTGCAGGTCCAACGCAGTGTCTGCCGCATCATCCGAGGAAGAGTCCAGATCCAGACCGCGTGCAGCCGCCTCCTCGTCGGAGGCAAAGGCATCCGCCGCCAAGCGCTTCGTGCCTCGCTGGCTGCTGCTGCCGCCGCCGCCGACGCCCGTGGCCTTGCCCCAGCTGCCTTTCGTGTTGCTGGGGAACTCCTCTTCGTCCGCATCCCATTGGTTTGACCCGCCGTAGCCTTTGCCTTTGCCGAAGGACAAGGTGCCGGCCGTGGACTCCTCAGTCTCCGGGCGCTCCATGTCCCACGCCTTGCCAGCGCGTGTTCCGTCGATCTTTTGCTGCTGGAAAGCGGCGACGAAAGACCACACCAGGGCTTCTGCGTCTTCGGGAGTCTTCAGCCACTGACGACAAGGCGCCGGAAGGTTGTACTCGGCGCCTACGGTCCGGACGCCTGCTGCCATGACCTTCGGGTTGTTGAGAGCTGTAGTGGCCTCCAGGCCTTCAAATGCAAAGAGGTAGAGGCGCGAAGCGAATCGCACGAGTCGCCGGAAGATGGCCTCCTTCTTCTCCGGCTCAGTGCGAAGGAACCGCAGGAAGCGCTTGACGGCGACTGCGGTTGCAGCCTCATCGCGCTCAATGTCCGTGTTGGCCGTGTTCAGATACGAACACGCGTCAAGGAACTTCCTGCCGTCACTTGTGTAACTCCGCCACGCCCAGCTTCTTCTTGGCATCTTCTGCACCGTCTGCGAAGTGATATTGCAGCAGCTCTGTGCCGGCGTGCAGGTTCGCGGCGCCCTCGGACAATGCGAGGCCTTGGCGGCTGCAGTACTCAGAACACCCCTCGTTCAACACAGAGGACAAATTCCACGAGGTGAGCAAATCTTTCTCTTCCATGCTCCCCCCGGCAAAGGGGCTGCCGGACTTGTCGACGTAGGGCCGCAAATAGTACTTCGAGATTCGGTCCTGCCACGGCACCTTGCGGGCCCAGTCCTTTTTGATTGGCGCGCCGCCGAAGGACTTCTTGCCGCCCTTGCCTGCCTTGTGGGTGGCAGACTTCCAGGATCCTTTGCCTTTGCCGTACATGATAAAGGCTCAGACTGGCTACGCACGCGTACGACCTTTGCTTGAAATGGCTGCAGGTCAATGCATGAACAACAGGCCCCTGGACTCGCAGAAAAGAGCAAGAACTTCAGCTCGTCGCACGCAACGGGTCTTTCCTCGCGCTGGCTAGTAGACTGCTCATCAGAGCATCGGGCGATGACGCGGCTTCACGCGCTCGCGGACTACTGTCCGAGGCGTATGCCAGTTAACAATCTTTCTGGTGAAATAGCATGCGGCTTCAGCTGCGTGCGGCCGACGACTGAGTTGCCCACCACGTATCCACCTCGGAAGCCACCGTGAGCAAGGCGTCACAAAGAAGCTTTGCCTGAGAATTCCAGACAGTGCCCTCCTCGCTGCGTAGGTCCACCATGAGGTTTTGCAGCCGGTCAAAGTGGACCATTACCTCCGGAGGCACACGCTTCAGCAGCTCCACGAAGGATTTTGTGGGGACGGAGCCCAATTCATTGGCCAGCCCATCCTTGTAGGTCCTCGCATCGTCAAGGAAATCACGCACTTCCGTTGCTGGCCAAACAGTGAAGGCAGCGGTCTTGGCGTCGTCTGAAGCTTGTCCAGGTGCGAGGTCAAAGTCGGGCAAGACGTCCGAGTCAGCGTCCAGCGGGCTTGGTGAGAGATCTATTTGAGTCGACGGAATCGGCGTGAGTGAGGCCGGCCGCTTGCGCGGGCGCTTTGCCACAGTGCTGTCTGAGACAGTGGCAGCATCCACGAGCTCCTCAATGTGCGCCAGATCCGGGGTGATTTCGCCGACTTGTGCCAAGGCACACTCGTAGATGTCGAGGGAGACTTGACGTAGTGCCTGCGGGCAAGGAACGCGTTGGGCAACTGATCTTGCAGCAGCGCACGAACGTTCTGAGAAGGCAGTTGGCTTCTTGCAGCAGAGGCACACCAAGCATCCGGACGATCTGAGGCTTCCCACCGGGCACAGCCAACAGGGCTTCCAGGCGTCCGAGGTCGCAGAAAAGGCAGCGCGAGTGCCCAGGGCTTGGCTGCGCCGGCCGACCCGCGGAGGAGGCGGAAAACCGGCGCGGCGTGGCTTCGAGCCCAAGGCAAGAGCGAGGCATGGCGTGACAAGCTGTAGCTCGTTCGCTGTTCGCTGGAGACTGGAGCTGCTGAAGGCTGCGGAGGTAGATAGCAAGTACAGTGATGTTTTATCGCTACAGAAATCTTAACATGCATGTCAGCTGCTGCAGACACTGGGCGTCAGAAATCAGTAACGAACCGGACAGTCTGTGCTGCGTGCGATGGAAATGGACATGCTTTGAAGATCATTCGCCCACAACGACAGTGCGAGCAAGCACAACGAGAGTGCGAGGAAGCGCGTCCGAGGTCGGGCTGTTCCCTTCCACGACTACAGGCGGAGGCGCCTTGAATCAAAAATCGACCAGCCGCTCTTCGCGCCAGCTAGGCCGCGCCTCCCGGGCCACTCACATCTGTGGAAGTCGATGACAATCGTTGCCTCTTCGGAGCACTCCTGGCCTCGTCCTCAGTCGAAGGTGCTGGACGGCGGTTGTCCAACCTCACCCAGTCCTGCGCTCCACGCGGGTGCGAATACCTGACTGGCTCTTCGTAGTGCACTGGGTCGCTGACGACCCAGGCATACCAACGACGGTAACGGAAACCACGCAGCTCCTCGTTCGAAACAGTGTGCTTGGTCATGTTGGCGGGCAGGAGCAAGAAATGCTGCTCGTGACCTTGGACCGCCACCAGTTGCCCTCCAGAGTCGACGACACCGACAGGCAAGCAGTCGGTGACTCGAACCTCGCCAAACAGCTTACCTGTTCCTTTACAGGCCAATGCGATCCGCTCCCGCTTTTTTGTTCGCTCCCCCCTCAGCTCCCAGATCTTCGAACCGTCCAACAAGCCTTGGATCCATTTACCATGAACGAGCAATGCTGAAGCTGGTAGGTCGGTCGATGAAGCCATGGCAGCGAGACTATAGGATATATCAGCAGAATCGGTGAGAAGCACCTGGTGGCCAGAAAGCTACAACAGTGCGCTGTTGCCCATCGAGGCCAGGGGGCTGAGTCGAAGAGCCCCACCACACATGTGTCACAATGCTCATGCAAGCAGGCCACCCGCCAGAGAGGAACCGTTTTTTAGCAGATGCGACTGCCAGCACACAAGTCTATGAGATGCCTTTACATCGTCCCTACTCAGGACGATCACAGGGGCCCGTCGTGGATGTCGTCCTCGCCCAAGGCATGCGGTACCTAGCTGCATGGGACATGTTCGCAGCAGCCCTAATCATGCGCATCACAGTCGAGGCAAAAGAGTGAGTGACCAGACACGCGAGTTAGAGAAGTGCACCGCGGTGCCTGTGGCCGGATCCCCAATCACCAATGTCGCCGTTGACCACGAAGAGCCGAGAAGCATCGAGACCTCAGAGACACAAGACCACGACTGTCCAATGCTGCTGCAAAGGAAGGTCATGCATAGCTAGGTGCTGCCTAGCGGCGGAAAAAATGAAATGAAATTTAGCGTTTCGTCCAAAACCTCCCGCGGCAGGAATCAAAGGCCTAAGTTCAAAACACGAAGCGTTTTCCAAAACAACATCTAGCATACTTACCCGCAGGAGGTTTTGTAGGGAGACTGCGTCCCAACCTTAAGGAAAGCGAAAAATCGACACAAAAACGACCAAAATAGATAGCGAAAAAACGGGCCGTGAGGAGCAAAATGGCACGAAGGCAGGCGAGGGCAGGAAATCCGGGATCGCATCTTGCTGATTCGTCTAAGCATGGCTATTGAATCGTACAACCGTGGCGCCGCAACCAACGCAGAAAACACCCAAAAAACGCGGGTTCTGGGCCAGTAAGCGGTTTTTGGCTGCTGCGTCGGTTTAGGGAAACCGTACAAAACACCTGCGAAAACGCAGAAAAACAAAACGGACCACGCACCCAAAATTTCGAATTTCGGCGTCCCGGGGGACAATGTCCTGGGGGCGTCCCGGGGCGTCCCGGGGGCCCCCCGGGACAGCTGTCCCGGGATTGTCCCGGGGGGGCCCCGGGACATTTGTCCCAGGGGGGCGCCCCGGGACGCCCCAGGACAACCTGTCCGGGGGGGGCCCCGGGACAACCTGTCCGGGGTGACCTGTTCCAGACAACACCCCGATCCATTCCAAAGCCGCATGGCGAAAGTTGCTGGGCCTTGTCGGGGCCTCTGAGGTGGGTCAGGGACTTCTGGTCCCAGGCCAGGGGCAGGCGCTTCTCAGGAAAGGGGGCTCAGAGGCCGCCAGCGGGGCCCGATCTTCGGCCTCTCCAGGGCCTCCCAGGGGCCTCTTGGGGCCTCCCAGCCTTCCAGGGGGCCTCCGAGGCGTCCTAGAGGCCTCCCAGGGGCCTCTCACGCGGCTGCCAAGGCGCTTTCAGGGACCTTCCAGGGGCCTGCCAGGGGCCTCCCAGGGGCCTTCCAGGGGCCTCCCAGGGGCCCCCCGGGGCCTCCCAGGGGCCTCCCAGGGGCCTCCCAGGGGCCTCTCAGGGGAATCCCAGGCTGAACCGAAAAACCCGATTTTTGAGCAGTGGCCCAGGCTGAGCCCGAAAAAGGGCCTCTGGTCCAGCAACGAAGGCCGCAGTCGGCGCCGCCCCCAGAGGGGCCCCGGAGGCCTCCAGGGGGGCCCCAGGCCAGGTTAGAAAAACACCTGCCGCGAGCAAAAGCTCGGTTTTAGGGAAAAAGAAAATACTAGGGACTGTGCTTGGCGACCAAGCTTGGCGACCCTTGCAGGGGTGTGCCTGCAGGCCCGATCAGCCTAGATCGGGCCTGCGTGGTCTCGCTGAGCGCTCGACAGCGCCCACTCACCTCTAGAGTGAGAGGGGTGGTGGGCGGGTTTAGGGTTTAGGGTTTAGGGTTTAGGGTTTAGGGTTTAGGGTTTAGGGTTTAGGGTTTAGGGTTTAGGGTTTAGGGTTTAGGGTTTAGGGGTTTAGGGGTTTAGGGGTTTAGGGGTTTAGGGGTTTAGGGGTTTCGGGTTTAGGGTTTAGGGTTTAGGGTTTAGGGTTTAGGGTTCAGCAGCTCCGGATCGAGCAGATTTACGGCTCGGATATAACACCCACCCACCCAGAGAATCCCATAACATTAAGAAACTATAAAGTATCTTCATACAAAAGTTGGGGTGGGAACGTGCCTTGCCCACGAATTTTTGTGCATTGCCCACGAATTTTTGTGCCTTGCCCACGAATTTTTGTGCCTTGCCCACGAATTTTTGTGCCTTGCCCACGAATTTCGGTGCCTTGCCCACGAATTTTGGTGCCTTGCCCACGAGTTTTTGGTGCCTTGCCACCAATTTGTGTGCCCGAAAATTCGTGGGCAAGGAACAAAATTTCGTGGGCAAAGGCACAAATATTCGTGGGCAAGGCACAAAATTCGTGGGCAAGGCACAAAAATTCGCAGGCAAGGCACATTTTGAGGCTTCAAGCCTTGCCCAAGGGCCAAAACTCCGAAACGTGCCTTGCACGTCTTGCCACGAACTTTTGTGGGGGGGGTAGGGGTGGGGCGGGGGGGGGCGGGGGGGGGTGGGGGGTTTAGGGTTTAGGGTTTAGGGTTTAGGGTTTAGGGTTTAGGGTTTAGGGTTTAGGGTTCAGCAGCTCCGGATCGAGCAGATTTACGGCTTGGATATAACACCCACCCACCCAGAGAATCCCATAACATTAAGAAACTATAAAGTATCTTCATACAAAAGTTGGGGTGGGAACGTGCCTTGCCCACGAATTTTTGTGCCTTGCTCACGAATTTTTGTGCCTTGCCCACGAATTTCGGTGCCTTGCCCACGAATTTTGGTGCCTTGCCCACGAATTTTTGTGCCTTGCCACCAGTTTACGTGCCCGAAAATTCGTGGGCAAGGCACAAAATTTCGTGGGCAAAGGCACAAAAATTCGTGGGCAAGGCACAAAATTCGTGGGCAAGACACAAAAATTCGTGGGCAAGGCACATTTTGGGGTTTTAAGCCTTGCCCAAGGGCCCAAAAATCCGAAATGTGCCTTGTCCACGAATTTTTGTGCCTTGCCCACGAATTTTTGG